CATCCGGGAGGAGGTGATCGAGATCGTTCGGGGATAAATTACGTAGATGATTGGGTCTTTCAAGACCGCCATGGTTGAGTATTTTGCCAAGTGCCATGCAGCCATTGCTGAGACGGTTGTCACGACAACTTTAGCAGCTATAACGACGGCAAGGGGAGGAGCTGGTCGAGCTTCTTAGTTCTGGGGCATATTCTGATGAGCAGAGGGTTGCAATTATTTGGGATCGGGAAGATGATTTGTACTCGTTATATTTCCGCTGGTGGAGCGGAAGAGGTTAGCACGCAAGTTCCTAGATTTGAGGCTCGGGGGTTTGCTCGAGGTCGGAATATGGGTCGCGGGAACTCCGGAAAGGAGTGATGATTATGTTCAGTTGGGGTTTTGCAGCTGGAAGGGGAATGGTTTATTGAGGTATTGGATTGTCATTTTGTAGTGCAAGGATTGTTCCCTCTCAGTTTTTTTAGCTCGAAGGAGTGAGCAGGCTTGTGACCCCAGGATCAGGTTGTATTCCAGCTCGGGGACAGTTGGTTGCAGGAATAGGCAACATTATTTCAGCACCGGTGAGTGCAGGACGGTCGACGTGGCATAATTATTTGTGAGGTTTGGTTTGCTTTGGATCTATTGTATCGGACGGTAAGGATTGATTGTGCGACCTATTACACTTTTGGGATTGTAGATTATGTCTTGGGGGTAGTTGTAGCCCGGTTTAGGGTAGAGGTTGTTTCAGCGGCTGCAGTTCAGCTGTGGACGTTTGAGCTGGTAAGTGAGTCAGGGTGCAAACCCTGAAGAGAATGATTTCTAGAGCCCGAGAGCGGGAAGTTTATTGGATCACCTTTGGAAAAAGGGGTATTTTGTGGGAAGTCTGCGGACAGGGTTCCACAGGATGGTTATTCAGCATTGTCAGGATTCAGTGGTTAGCAACCGTTAGTGATTCTCAGACTAAAGCGCCAAGAGAAATAACTCGTTGTCGAGGTATTAGTTGGAGCATCTATCTTGTGGTCTTCAGGACGTGAGTGTGGGGTCATTCAAGCATTAGTGGCTATCGGTTTCACTGGGATTCAGGAAGTGTTCTTCTGGTTCTTAGAAGTGTGTGATTAATTGGGACTAACTAGCAATGGGAGCATCTTGGTTGGGAAGATAAATCTGTGGCTCTTCAACGGATGACTTGAATTCATCCCCAAATTTATCTTCCAGCTTTTTCTTCAAATCGTAGTAGCTGGCGGTCAGTAGCCCAAAGTGTGTCTGAAGATCTATGATCTGTTTGGTCTTCAGAGCTTTGTCCTCGGTAAGCTCGGCCACTTGAATGTTGAGTTGTGTATTCTCAGTTTGAAGGTCAGCCACCTTGATATCAAGCTCAATGTTCCTCTGATCCAACTCAACGATCTTCTGGTTCAAAGCATCGATCTGATTTTGAAGTCCAAGAAGTGAGCGACTCTCTTCTCCTGTGCTATCACGCCCTATAGAAATTCCTTTGCCATGCAGGGGTGATGTTGAAAAATTGATCTCTGGCCAAGAGCCTGGCTAATTTAACAGAGGTAGCATCATGCTCTAGCCTAGGAGGAGAGAAATCCGTTGGGAAGGACGAGCCACCAGTTTCATAGAAGATAACTGGACCTTCACTTGTGGGTTCAGCTGAGACTATAACAGGTGTAGTTGTTGGAGGAGCTGTAACACTTTGAATCACCAGTCTAGGGTCGGGTCTGCACCTTTTACATGGAGAAGGAGAGGCTTGTGGGGCTGGGTGATCACTTTCCAAAGGCGTAGAAGTAGGTAAGACAACATTAAGGGGAGGAATCCCTGACGTTGCCACCATAGGAATTGCTATTTCTGCCGTTGTGTTGGTAGGAGGAGGTGTAGCTTCGAGAACATCTCCTTTTTCCCTTGTCTCTGTTGTTGGTTCAGCAACTTCATTGACATTGTCAAGCAGCTCATTAAGGTTCATCCCAGCCATAAAATCTTCATTACTCCCAAAATTGACAGGAATTTCATCATTGTTAAGTCCTGGGAGGTCGAGGCCTTCATAAAAATCAGTTTCCGATCCAGACCCCTCATCGTAATCCTTTTTGAACTGGAACGGATGTCAACTCGTGTTCCTCAGCCACTTGTGCTTTAGGTGCTGGATTTTCTTCTTCTTCATGATCTGAGACAGTGATCACATCTTCAGAAACAATGCTTTCAGAAGAAGTGGGCTCAGATGCCTTGTCAGATGTTCCATGCGACTCAGAAGATTCATCAATCTCAGCAAATTTTCCGAACTTCTCGAGAGGATGTAAGCCCTGGAAAACGACTTTGCCCTTTCGATTTTGCTTGATGAGACCAACCGTGTGTGGGCCTAGGGACTTAATATCCAGCTTTTCACCATCATTGACCATCTCTGGGAACTGATTGTTGATGAACACCTGAATGAATCTTGGGTATAACAAGAATGCGTCTCTGTTTCCCCGGGAAATGGCATTTATGTTCACCAAAAATTCATCTAGAATGAACTTCGAGGAATTAAATTTTATACCGGCAGCGAGTGAAACAATTGCTCCTGAGTTCCGGAGCGAGATCTCATCAGCGCCTGATCTCCTCCCCGAAATGCAGCTGACGAAGACATGTGCCAGAAATCTCCAGTAGGGAGGTAGAAGTTTCTTCACCGTAGGAGGGTAGATGCCCTCATATCCCATCCTGCTGAGAATCCTTTGAACATCATCAATCCCAATCTCAGTAGGGAAATCGGGTTGATCATCGATCAGCAGTGTGTCTCTGATGTACTGTTCGGTGATTACGATCTTGCATCCTCGGACTTCAACCTTAATAGTAAACGCACCATTTTGTCTTGACACCTTGGCTGTTTGCTAGAACTCCCGGATAATGTCCTGATAAATGATGGGATTTACTGTGATGGCAGAAGACAAACAGCACTCTCTCAGTCTGTAGATCATTGATTTGAATTCTGCATGAGCGACCGGAGGATCATCCAACACAATTGACAAGTTGTGCATGTCTGCAAACTTAAGATTCGCCATTTATCTGCACTAAACAGGCCAAGTAAGAAAACACAGAATTTTAACAATTTAAATCATTTGAATTTTCTTTAGTTAAACAAATTTATTTTTGGACCTTTTAAAAAAAATTAGATTGACTACAAAAAATTTGAGTTTACAGTCAAAATTAGTCAACCATCGAGTTTACGGTCAAAGTCAGTCTAAATGGGTTTACGGTCAAAGTTGGTCAACGGACCGTAAACTGAGTTTACGGTAAAATCGAGTTTACGGTCGTAAGGCCAAAACCGAGTTTATGGTCGTAAGGCCAAAACCGAGTTTACGGTCGTAAGGCCAAACTGGGTTTACGGTTTATGAATCTCCCAAAACCGTAAACTCATCAAGAACAGTAAGCGCCGACGATTCCAAAACCACAGATTACTCCTCCAGTTTTGGTCGGAATGACGAAAAAAAGGCAGATTCCCGGTCAGATTCATCATACCTTCAAAGTGGTATAGTCGATTTCACAAGAACTCGCAAAAGGTTTTTCGAGGAGAGAGAGTAGAGAGAGAAAGTATGCTTGCGGCTGTAAAAGGGAGGAATGGGAGTGGAAAGAGTTTACGGAAGTAAACTCTTCCTTTTATACTCCCTTCGAAATTACATGTCTTCCACACAATTAAGATCACAGTCCTAATCCCGATTAAGTTTTCAAAAATAAACATTTTGAGGATATAAAAATAAAACTAAAAATAAAATTAAAACTAAAAATAAACTAATTTCTAAAATTTAAGAATTAAAATATCTAAAAATTAAATTTTTGACAATTATTAACAATATAATAAAATAAAAATAAAATAAAAATAAAAATAAAAATAAAATAAACGCAGACAAACTTCATCTTAAAATTTTCTGAAAGTTTCCTTATGATGCTGGGATCAAAGTTGTTAGACAGCCTTAATCCACTTGTCGGTACCTTTCATCTTCACATCTTTGTCTGATCGATCGCCGGTATTGTAGTCCACTTAAACACGAAAAATTGTGACAAAATTAGGACATACTATTAATTATAAGACAAAGTGATCCTAAGTTCCTAGATAATATTTCTTAAGGACCATTCAGCTGACGACGACCAGGGATATTGTTGTCCACCTAAATTGAGCAGCGAGATCTATAGACAATCTGTAAGTGTTTAATTTTTAATTGTACTAGAACATGGTTCCCGCTTCCTAATATGCTCCAGTAATCAAGGACTTCCAGAATACTCCTTACATCGGGTGCGCAGACAATTATTAAGAGAGAGGATAGATTTAGAATGCATATGCTATACACCCAGGTCTGATCTCTTCCAATCACGCAGAGGGTGAAACATATGACTAACTGAAGTTTTAGAGGGATTGAGAAGTAGAAGGTTGCATATGCTGTGTACCAGGTCGGATTGTGAGTCACGCAAAGGAGACAGCATGTGGCTAACAGATAGGAAGAATTTCATAGATATAATATGCAGAGAAATAGATTTGCATATGTTGTAGTCCAGGTCGGATCTCTTCCAATCACGTAAAGGAAGCAACATATGACTAACAGACAGATAGAGAAAGAAAACAATTTTCTACAGACCTAACTCATCGGAATTAACCAGTCGCCCCATCAATACCGGAATTAAGGACAGAATCCGCACATCGAGGAAAAGTTAATCCATGGTTCCAAGTACAGGTTCTTTAATGTGACTAGTAGCTTCCCATATATATCTCGCTGCTCAACCTATCCAAGCGCCGTATTGTCAGGCTAAACGGATCTAACTAGGTCAAGATTTGTCAAGTCTATGAATTTCTTAAGTTCAACTCTGCCTAGTCAAGTCCATTTAGAATCTTTCGTGCCTACCGGCGCATCAAACCAGAGCAAAGACCCTTCAACTTTGGGTACGTTACGCAGACTCAGATTGCCTGTTATCACTAAATAATATCACTTCCCAACAATCCTCCAATCTGCATGTTAAACAAGTATCTAACCTTCAATTGTACGCTTGAAAAATGAAACGATTTATGCCTTTGATTTCTTTCCTTTTGTTTCTTTGATAACAGTGGATTGAAAAGGCAAGAATGTCTTGCAACCCATGAATCCCTGAAGCACTGTTGGCACTTCAACACCATCTTCTTTCTGGTAGTTCTCAAGTATACAGCATATAGTCCTCTCTGTTGCTGTGAGGGTAGAATTTAATAAATGACAATACTGCTTTGTCTCCTCATTACTCTTCTTTTGGCCATATCTAATCTCCAGTTTTTTTGATTGATAATCAGTGCAGTTTGAGCACGAAACAAGCTCTCTGTAGGTACTGGATGCAGGAAACCATGCTTCTAAATCATACTTCTTTGCAGCAGCATCGTTTAAAGCACCAGAAACAACAGACACTACCTGATATGGAAGTTTCAACATCTGATAAAACTCCTCTGAGTTTTTCATCATTTCTTCATGCATGTCCCATGAATCATTATCATTAGGGTTGGTGATGCAGAACTGTTCCAGTTTCTCAAACTGATGAACACGAAAAATCCCAAGAGTGTCACGCCCATGTGATCCAGCTTCTTTAAGAAAGCAAGATGAATATGCTGCATATTTTAATGGCAGCTGTGTTGGATGGATCCAATCATCCATGTGATAAGCACAAAGTGGTTGTTCAGCAGTAGCAATCAAGTACTTGTCATCTCCTTCACCTGTTACTTTGTAGAGTTCTTCATCAAATTGTGATAATTGAGCACATTTTGCCATGATATCTTTTCTCATGAAGAATGGAGTCTGCAACAGTGTGTAACCCTTCTTCTCCAAGAAATCAAGGCCAAAATTCACTAGAGCTTGATTGAGATGCACATCATCTCCTTTTAGATAATATCCTCTACCACCAACAACATTAGCACCTCTTTTCAGGTCTGCAATTCCAAGAAGATCAACAAGATCCACATGATTTCTCAGTTTTGCTTCATCTCTCTTCTCTCCCCAACTCCTAACTATCTCGTTATCTGCCTCATCGTTGCTAACGGGAACAGAGTCATGAACAATATTTCCAACCAGATTCAGATTTGAATGCAATGCTCTTTGGGCCTCTTGAAACTGTGCTTCTTTCTTCGCAGTTAATTGCTTGTTTTCCTCGGTATCTTTAATCAATGAAGTCGCATCTTGTCCTGAAATTCTGAGTTTGGCGACTTCTTTGTTGATCTTGTTGAAATCCTTTCGGAACTGTTCCAGCTCGAATTGACGGCTTTTCCATTCTTCATAAAGTTGAATGATTTTATCAACAAGTTCAACAATAGCAAACCGCCGTCGCTGAGATTCGCGTATAATCTCTGGATTGCGCCTGAACAGATTTAACAACCGTAAATAGAGTTTACGGTTGGCAGTAAACTCCCAGAACACCTTCAGAAACACGTTTTTGCAGTAAATTCAATTCCCTTGACCACAAGAACACTTAAAACAGGCTCGAACAATAAGAATATCGGTTGAAACAGCCCAAAAGTCGATCGAATGAAGCTTTAACACCGGTTTTCGCTTTGATACCAGTTGTAAGGTCCAAATATGGATCTTTACCAGTAGTCAAGCAACAAAAAATCACAGAAAGAAGAATAAGATGAAAAGAAATTAAGCTTGCACACGATTAAATTCAGTAAACCGTCTGGAACAACTTGATAGGACTCTGTGTAAATGCAATGGCATCAACCAACCACACTAAGACCAACACCTCCCCTATATATACTCAACCAGACTGTAAACGGGGTTTACGGCTGTAAACACTGTTTACGGTCGTAAACATACAAACATACCAAAATCACATAAACAACTCATAAACAGTATTACATACTCAAACTGAACTAAACACAATGAAAGCCTAGACCAAACCATTTACAGGGTCCTTCAATCTCCCCCTTGGTTTGGTGCTAGCTTGGACTTAGCTCTTTTCGACCACCAGTACGTCTGATTTTCCCATCGCTCCGTTCCACATTTTCTTTTCTATAATTTCAGCCACCATCAACGTGTATTCTTTTGCAGCGGGCTCAAAGAGAGGTTCAGCCACCACAATCTGATTTTTAGCGAGATGATGTATGTCCCACTTGCCAAATTGAAGTAAATCCCTTTTCTCATACAAACGGATGCAATCTTCCTTAAGCTTGATGACAGCAGCATCTGTGGATTCATCATACACCCAATATAGCATGGATTTAAGAGAACCATCAGAATAATTTTGAAGAACGGGGACTTGCTTCACTTGGGTGGTAGCAGGCCACATCACTGATCTAAGTGGCTTATTTGTCGTGGGATCAAACACTTTAGAGTAAACCTTGACTATCGACTCAGCAGTCTTCATCGAAGGAAAACCTTTAGCGACTTGATCTTCCAGGAATGACTTGAACTGACTCGCCCTGGGATTGTTCGATGGATTGGAGAAAGGAGCCTTAGACAGCTCAGTAAGATCAATCTTAGTAAAAGAATGAAAGTCGTGAGCATCTTTGTATAGTTCATTGTTGCCGCTCTTTCTCCTCACCATAAACATATTCATGCTGTCATAGAATCCTCACGAGAGGATTCCTGACCTATCACCATAGGTGTCTCTGAAACGATTCTCGCCCAGATCCGTAACGGTGATCTGTGGTTTATCCTAGGGTGCTTTATGATCTGCGCTCCTTTTGAATAACAATTTACCTTTGTCAGCAGACTTGTCATTTTTGGCACGTTTTAATTCTGCTGCACTTGGAGCTTGAGCCGGTTCTTTCTCAAAACGATTCACGACGGTGGTGGTTCTGATAGGTTGCGTAGCAATGGGAGCATCTTGGTTGGGAAGATAAATCTGTGGCTCTTCAACGGATGACTTGAATTCATCCCCAAATTTATCTTCCAGCTTTTACTTTAAATCGTAGTAGCTGGCGGTCAGTAGCCCAAAGTGTGTCTGAAGATCTGTGATCTGTTTGGTCTTTAGAGCTTTGTCCTCGGTAAGCTCGGCCACTTGAATGTTGAGCTATGTATTCTCAGTTTGAAGGTCAGCCACCTTGATATCAAGCTCAGTGTTCCTCTGATCCAACTCAACGATCTTCTGGTTTAAAGCATCGATCTGCTTTTGAAGTCCAAGAAGTGAGGGACTCTCTTCTCCTGTGCTATCACCCCCTATAGAAATTCCTTTGCCATGCGGGGGTGATGTTGAAAATTGATCTCTGGCCAAGAGCCTGGCTAATTTAACAGAGGTAGCGTCATGCTCTGGCCTAGGAGGAGAGAAATCCGTTGGGAAGGACGAGCCACCAGTTTCATAGAAGATACTAGGACCTTCACTTGTGGGTTCAGCTGAGACTATAACAGGTGTAGTTGTTGGTGGAGCTGTAACACTTTGAATCACCAGTCTAGGGTCGAGTCTGCGCCTTTTACATGGAGAAGGAGAGGCTTGTGGGGCTTGTTGATCACTTTCTAAAGGCGTAGAAGTAGGTAAGACAACATTAAGGGGAGGAATCCCTGACGTTGCCACCATAGGAATTATTATTTCCGCCGATGTGTTGGTAGGAGGAGGTGTAGCTTCGAGAACATATCCTTTTTCCCTTGTCTCTGTTGCTGGTTCAGCAACTTCATTGACATTGTCAAGCAGCTCATTGAGGTTCATCACAGCCATAAAATCTTCATTACTCCCAAAATTGATAGGAATTTCATCATTGTCAAATCCTGTGAGGTCGAGGCCTTCATACAAATCAGTTTCCGATCCAGACCCCTCATCGTAATCCTTTTGAACTGGAACGGATGTCAACTCGTGTGCCTCAGCCACTTGTGCTTTAGGTGCTGGATTTTCTTCTTCTTCATGATCTGAAACAGTGATCACATCTTCAGAAACAACCTTTTCAGAAGAAGTGGGCTCAGATGCCTTGTCAGATGTTCCATGCGACTCAGAAGAAGTGGGCTCAGATGCCTTGTCAGATGTTCCATGCGACTCAGAAGATTCATCAATCTCAACAAATTTTCCGAACTTCTCGAGAGGATGTAAGCCCTGGAAAACGACTTTGCCCTTTCGATTTTGCTTGATGAGACCAACCGTGTGTGGGCCTAGGGACTTAATATCCAGCTTTTCACCATCATTGACCATCTCTGGGAACTGATTGTTGATGAACACCTGAATGAATCTTGGGTATAACAAGAATGCGTCTCTGTTTCCCCGGGAAATGGCATTTATGTTCACCAAAAATTCATCTAGAATGAACTTCGAGAAATTGAATTTTATACCGGCAGCGAGTGAAACAATTGCTCCTGTGTTCCGGAGCGAGATCTCATCAGCGCTTGATCTCCTTCCCGAAATGCAGCTGACGAAGACATGTGCCAGAAATCTCCAGTAGGGAGGTAGAAGTTTCTTCACCGTAGGAGGGTAGATGCCCTCATATCCCATCCTGCTGAGAATCCTTTGAACATCATCAATCCCAATCTCAGTAGGGAAATCGGGTTGATCATCGATCAGCAGTGTGTCTCTGATGTACTGTTCGGTGATTACGATCTTGCGTCCTCGGACTTCAGCTTTAATAGTAAACGCACCATTTTGTCTTGACACCTTGGCCGTTTGCCAGAACTCCCGGATAATGTCCTAATAAATGATGGGATTTACTGTGATGGCACAAGACAAACAGCACTCTCTCAGTCTGTAGATCATTGATTTGAATTCTGCATGAGCGACCGGAGGATCATCCAACACAATCGCCAAGTTGTGTATGTCTGCAAACTTAATATTCACCATTTATCTGCACTAAACAGGCCAAGTAAGAAAACACAGAATTTTAACAATTTAAATCATTTGAATTTTCTTTAGTTAAGCAAATTTATTTTTGGACCTTTTAAAAAAATTAGATTGACTACAAAAAATTTGAGTTTACAGTCAAAATTAGTCAACCATCGAGTTTACGGTCAAAGTCAGTCTAAATGGGTTTACGGTCAAAGTTGGTCAATGACCATAAACTGAGTTTACGGTCGTAGGACCAAAATCGAGTTTACGGTCGTAAGGTCAAAACCGAGTTTACGGTCGTAAGGTCAAACTGGGTTTACGGTTTATGAATCTCCCAAAACCGTAAACTCATCAAGAACAGTAAGCGCCGACGATTCCAAAAACGCAGATTACTCCTCCAGTTTTGGTCGGAATGACGAATAAAAGGCAGATTCCCGGTCAGATTCATCATACCTTCGAAGTGGTATAGTCGATTTCACAAGAACTCGCAAAAGGTTTTTCGAGGAGAGAGAGTAGAGAGAGAAAGTATGCTTGCGGCTGTAAAAGGGAGGAATGGGAGTGGAAAGAGTTTACGGAAGTAAACTCTTCCTTTTATACTCCCTTCGAAATTACCTGTCTCCCACACAGTTAAGATCACAGTCCTAATCCCGATTAAGTTTTCAAAAATAAACATTTTGAGGATATAAAAATAAAACTAAAAATAAAATTAAAACTAAAAATAAAATTAAAACTAAAAATAAACTAATTTCTAAAATTTAAGAATTAAAATATCTAAAAATTAAATTTTTGACAATTATTAACAATAAAATAAAATAAAAATAAAATAAAAATAAAAATAAAAATAAAATAAACGCAGACAAACTTCATCTTAAAATTTTCTGAAAGTTTCCTTGTGATGCTGGGATCAAAGTTGTTAGACAGCCTTAATCCACTTGTCGGTACCTTTCATCTTCACATCTTTGTCTGATCGATCGCCGGTATTGTAGTCCACTTAAACACGAAAAATTGTGACAAAATTAGGAAATACTATTAATTATAAGACAAAGTGATCCTAAGTTCCTAGATAATATTTCTTAAGGACCATTCAGCTGACGACGACCAGGGATATTGTTGTCCACCTAAATTGAGCAGCGAGATCTATAGACAATCTGTAAGTGTTCAATTTTTAATTGTACTAGAACATGGTTCCCGCTTCCTAATATGCTCCAGTAATCAGGTACTTCCAGAATACTCCTTACATCGGGTGAGCAGACAATTATTAAGAGAGAGGATAGATTTAGAATGCATATGCTATACACCCAGGTCTGATCTCTTCCAATCACGCAGATGGTAAAACATATGACTAACTGAAGTTTTAGAGGGATTGAGAAGTAGAATGGTGCATATACTGTGTACCAGGTCGGATTGTGAGTCGCGCAAAGGAGACAGCATGTGGCTAACAGATAGGAAGAATTTCATAGATATAATATGCAGAGAAATAGATTTGCATATGTTGCAGTCCAGGTCGGATCTCTTCCAATCACGTAAAGGAAGCAACATATGACTAACAGACAGATAGAGAAAGAAAACAATTTTCTACAGACCTAACTCATCGGAATTTACCAGTCGCCCCATCAATACCGGAATTAAGGACAGAATCCGCACATCGAGGAAAAGTTAATCCATGGTTCCAAGTACAGGTTCTTTAATGTGACTAGTAGCTTCCCATATATATATATATATATATATATATATATATATATATATATATATATATATATATATATATATATATATATATATATATATATATATATATATATATATATATATATATATATATATATCTCCCTGCTCAACCTATCCAAGCGTCTTATTGTTAGGCTAAACGGATCTAACTAGGTCAAGATTTGTCAAGTCTATGAATTTCTTAAGTTCAACTCTGCCTAGTCAAGTCCATTTAGAATCTTTCGTGCCTACCGGCGCACCAAACCAGAGCAAAGACCCTTCAACTTTGGGTCCGTTAGGCAGACTCAGATTGCCTGTTATCACTAGATAATATCACTTCCCAAAACATCTCCCTCAAGCACATTCCATAACCAACATATTTTTGGATTTTCTGATTTTCTAATGTTTTTGGATTTTTGAATGTTTTCTAATTTTTGTTTTGTTTTTATTTCTCCCCCTAAATTTGTTCATAGGAGAGAAACAAAAGTAAATGCGCAAATTTAAACTATCCTAAAACAAAAGTTAGTCTTTAAAGCGAATCAGCTTAAGAAAAACCCAGGAGTATAGAGAAGAAAACTCAAACCGTAAGTCACCGATTGAATTTGAATCCAGAAGGTCTGAGAACAGCACGCGTAATCTTAGAACAGATACGAAAATTCTTCATGTCATTAAGCACTAACCCCGTTTGTGATCTCTTCCTTTCTTCCTTTCCCGCAAAGGACACATACTCCCAAACAATGTTCTGAGTGTTGTACAGTTGAGAGATGTCTCCTATCATGTGCCTGGAACAGCCAGTACCAACAAACCGAAGTCTGATGATATGCCTCCATAGCTTCTCCGACACGGAGCGGGATTAGTTGGTCTTTGGAACCCAGTCCATTTTGAAACTGGGTCGACCTTTGTCATCCTTGCACGATACTCTCTCTCACTAGTCACATTAAAGAACCTGTACTGGGAACCATGTTCTAGTACAATTAACAATTGAACACTCACAGATTGTCTATAGATCTCGGTGCTCAATTTAGGTGGACCACAATATCCCTGGTCGTCGTCAACTGAATGGTCCTTAAGATATAGTATCCAGGAACTTAGGATCTGATATAATATCTAGGAACTTAGGATCACTCTGTCTTACAACTATTAGTATGTCCTAATATTGTCACAATTTTTTCGTGTTTAAGTGGACCACAATACCGGCGATCGATCAGACAAAGATGTGAAGATGAAAGGTACCGACAAGTGGATTAAGGCTGTCTAACAACTTTGATCCCAACATCACAAGGAAACTTTCAGAAAATTTTAATATGAAGTTTGTCTGCGTTTATTTTATTTTTATTTTTATTTTTAATTTATTTTTATTTTATTTTATTGTTAATAATTGTCAAAAATTTAATTTTTAGATATTTTAATTCTTAAATTTTAGAAATTAGTTTATTTTTAGTTTTATTTTTATATCCTCAAAATGTTTATTTTTGAAAACTTAATCGGGATTAGGACTGTGATCTTAACTGTGTTGGAGACAGGTAATTTCGAAGGGAGTATAAAAGGAAGAGTTTACTTCCATAAACTCTTTCCACTCCCATTCCTCCCTTTTACAGCCGCAAGCATACTTTCTCTCTCTACTCTCTCTCCTCGAAAAACCTTTTGCGAGTTCTTGTGAAATCGACTATACCACTTCGAAAGTATGATGAATCTGACCAGGAATCTGCCTTTTATTCGTCATTCATACCAAAACTGGAGGAGTAATCTGCGTTTTTGAAATCGTCGGCGCTTACTGTTCTTGATGAATTTACGGTTTTGGGAGATTCATAAACCGTAAACCCATTTTGGCCTTACGACCGTAAACTCGGTTTTGGCCTTACGACCGTAAACTCGATTTTGGTCCTACGACCGTAAACTCAGTTTACGGTCATTGACCAACTTTGACCGTAAACCCATTTAGACTGACTTTGACCGTAAACTCGATGGTTGACTAATTTTGACTGTAAACTCAAATTTTTTTTAGTCAATCTAATTTTTTTAAAAGGTCCAAAAATAAATTTGTTTAACTAAAGAAAATTCAAATGATTTAAATTGTTAAAATTCTGTGTTTTCTTACTTGGCCTGTTTAGTGTAGATAAATAGTGAATCTTAAGTTTTCAGACATGCACAACTTGGCGATTGTGTTGGATGATCCTCCGGTCGCTCATGCAGAATTCAAATCAATGATCTACAGACTGAGAGAGTGTTGTTTGTCTGGTGCCATCACAGTAAATCCCATCATTTATCAGGACATTATCCGGCAGTTCTGGCAAACGGCTAAGGTGTCAAGACAAAATGGTGCGTTTACTATTAAAGCTGAAGTCCGAGGATGCAAGATCGTAATCACCGAACAGTACATCAGAGACACACTGCTGATCGATGATCAACACGATTTCCCTACTGAGATTGGGATTGATGATGTTCAAAGGATTCTCAGCAGGATGGGATATGAGGGCATCTACCCTCCTACGGTGAAGAAACTTCTACCTCCCTACTGGAGATTTCTGGCACATGTCTTCGTCAGCTGCATTTCGGGGAGGAGATCAGGCGCTGATGAGATCTCGCTCCTGAACACAGGAGCAATTGTTTCACTCGTTGCCGGTATAAAATTCAATTTCTCGAAGTTCATTCTAGATGAATTTTTGGTGAACATAAATGCCATTTCCTGGGGAAACAGAGACGCATTCTTGTTATACCCAAGATTCATTCAGGTGTTCATCAACAATCAGTTCCCAGAGATGGTCAATGATGGTGAAAAGCTGGATATTAAGTCCCTAGTCCCACACACGGTTGGTCTCATCAAGCAAAATCAAAAGGGCAAAGTCGTTTTGCCGGGCGTACATCCTCTCGAGAAGTTCGGAAAATTTGCTGAGATTGATGAATCTTCTGAGTCGCATGGAACATCTGACAAGGCATCTGAGCCCACTTCTTCTGAAAGTGTTGTTTCTGAAGATGTGATCACTGTCTCAGATCATGAAGAACAAGAAAATCCAGCACCTAAAGCACAAGTGGCTGAGGAACACGAGTTGACATCCGTTCCAGTTCAAAAGGATTACGATGATGGGTCTGGATCGGAAATTGTATTGTATGAAGGCCTCGACCTCACAGGATTTGACAATGATGAAATTCCTGTCAATTTTGGGAGTAATGAAGATTTTATGGCCAGGGTGAACCTCAATGAGCTGCTTGACAATGTCAATGAAGTTGCTGAAGCAGCAACAAAGACAAGGGAAAAAGGAGATGTTCTCGAAGCTACACCGCGTCCAACCAACACATCGGCGGAAATAGCAATTCCTATGGTGGCAACGTCAGGGATTCCTCCCCTTAATGTTGTCTTACCTACTTCTACGCCTTCAGAAAGTGATCACCCAGCCCCACAAGCCTCTCCTTCTCCATGTAAGAGGCGCAGACTCGACCCTAGACTGGTGATTCAAAGTGTTACAGCTCCTCCAACAACTACACTTGTTATAGTCTCAGCTGAACCCACAAGTGAAGGTCCTAGTATCTTCTATGAAACTGGTGGCTCGTCCTTCCCAACGGATTTATCTCCTCCTAGGCCAGAGCATGGCGCTACCTCTGTTAAATTAGCCAGGCTCTTGGCCAGAGATCAATTTTCAACATCACCCCCGCATGGAAAAGGAATTTCTATAAGGGTGATAGCACAGGAGAAGAGAGTCCCTCACTTCTTGGACTTCAAAAGCAGGTCGATGCTTTGAACCAGAAGATCGTTGAGTTGGATCAGAGGAACATTGAGGTTGATATCAAGGTGGCTGACCTTCAAACTGAGAATACACAGCTCAACATTCAAGTGGTCGAGCTTACCGAGGACAAAGCTCTGAAGACCAAACAGATCACAGATCTTCAGACACACTTTGGGCTACTGACCGCCAGCTACTACGATTTGAAGAAAAAGCTAGAAGATAAATTTGGGGATGAATTCAAGTCATCCGTTGAAGAGCCACCAATTTATCTTCCCAACCAAGATGCTCCCATTGCTACGAAACCTATCAGAACCACCACCGTCGTGAATCGTTTTGAGAAAGAACCGGCTCAAGCTCCAAGTGCAGCAGAATTAAAACGTGCCAAAAAGGACAAGTCTGCTGACAAAGGTAAATTGCTATTCAAAAGGAGCGCAGATCATAAGGCACCCTGGAATAAACCACAGATCACCGTTACGGATCTGGGCGAGAATCATTTCAGAGACACCTATGGTGATAGGTCAGGAATCCACTCGTGGGGATTCCATGACACCATGAATATGTTTATGGTGAGGAGAAAGAGCGGCAACAATGAACTATACAAAGATGCTCACGACTTTCATTCTTTTACTAAGATTGATCTTACCGAGCTATCTAAGGCTCCTTTCTCCAACCCATCGAACAATCCCAGGGCGAGTCAGTTCAAGTCATTCCTGGAAGATCAAGTCGCTAAAGGTTTTCATTCGAAGAAGACTGCTGAGTCGATAGTCAAGGTTTACTCTAAAGTGTTTGATCCCACGTCAAATCAGCCACTTAGATCAGTGATGTGGCCTGCTACCGCCCAAGTGAAGCAAGTCCCCGTTCTTGAAAATTATTTTGATGGTTCTCTTAAATCCATGCTATATTGGGTGTATGATGAATCCACAGATGCTGCTGTCATCATGCTTAAGGAAGATTGCATCCGTTTGTATGAGAAAAGGGATTTACTTTAATTTGGCAAGTGGGACATACATCATCTCGCTAAAAATCAGATTATGGTGGCTGAACCTCTCTTTGAGCCCGCTGCAAAAGAATACACGTCGATGGTGGCTGAAATTATAGAAAAGAAAATGTGGAACGGAGCGATGGGAAAATCAGACGTACTGGTGGTCGAAAAGAGCTAAGTCCAATCTAGCACCAAACCAAGGGGAAGATTGAAGGACCCTGTAAATGGTTTGGTCTAGGCTTTCATTGTGTTTAGTTCAGTTTGAGTCTGTAATACTATTTATGAGCTGTTTATGTGATTTTGGTCTGTTTGTATGTTTACGACCGTAAACAGTGTTTACGGCCGTAAACACGTTTACGACCGTAAACCCAGTTTACGGTCGTAAACCCCGTTTACGGTCTGGTTGAGAATATATAGGGGAGGTGTTGGTCTTAGTGTGGTTGGTTGATGCCATTGCGTTTACACAGAGTCCTACCAAGTTGTACCAGACGGTTTACTGAATTTAATCGTGTGCAAGCTTGATTTCTTTTCATCTTATTCTTCTTTCTGTGATTGTTTGTTGCTTGATTACTGGTAAAGATCCATATTTGGACCTTACAATTGGTATCAAAGCAAAAACCGGTGTTAAAGCTTCATTCGATCGACTTTTGGGCTGTTTCAACCGATATTCTTATTGGTCGAGCCTGTTTTAAGTGTTCTTGTGGTCAAGGGAATTGAATTTACTGCAAAAACGTGTTTCTGAAGGCGTTCTGGGATTTTACTGCCAACCGTAAACTCTATTTACGGTTGTTAAATCTGTTCAGGCGCAATCCAGAGATTATATGCGAATCTCAGCGACGGCGGTTTGCTAATGTTGAACTTGTTGATAAAATCATTCAACTTTATGAAGAATGGAAAAGCCATCAATTCGAGCTGGAACAGTTCCGAAAGGATTTCAACAAGATCAACAAAGAAGTCGCCAAACTCAGAATTGCAGGACAAGATGCGACTTCATTGATTAAAGATACCGAGGAAAACAAGCAATTGACTGCGAAGAAAGAAGCACATGTTCAGGAGGCCCAAAGAGCATTGCATTCAAATCTGAATCTGGTTGGAAATATTGTTCATGACTCTGTTCCCGTTAGCAACGATGAGGCAGATAACGAGATAGTTAGGAGTTGGGGAAAGAAGAGAGATGAAGCAAAACTGAGAAATCATGTGGATCTTGTCGATCTTCTTGGAATTGCAGACCTGAAAAGAGGTGCTAATGTTGCTGGTGGTAGAGGATATTATCTAAAAGGAGATGGTGTGCGTCTCAATCAAGCTCTAGTGAATTTTGGCCTTGATTTCTTGGAGAAGAAGGGTTACACACTGTTGCAGACTCCATTCTTCATGAGAAAAGATATCATGGCAAAATGTGCTCAATTATCACAATTTGATGAAGAACTCTACAAAGTAACAGGTGAAGGAGATGACAAGTACTTGATTGCTACTGCTGAACAGCCACTTTGTAGGATATGATAGTGTACCTCCTCCATATAATCATACCTATCAGTATGATAGTGTACCTTTCATGGTTTATGGCAAGCCATCTGGTTTCGTCTCAGAAGGATTTATTAATGTTGAAAGTACTGACGTTTCTACTTCCCCTGCAGATCAATCCTTAGATCAGTCAAAGCACAAAGTTGAAGGTTCTATTTCTGATAACAAAACTGAGCTTGAACCTGATGTTTCTGTTTCCAATGAACAACCTTCTGTTTCTGATGATAAAGTTGATGATACATCTTGTGATGCCTTTGATGCTTTTTTATCGGATCATGTTGAGTTAAATTTTTTTGACATATTTGATTATTTGTTTGAAAATATTGATGTTCCTGTTTCTAGCACATCTAATTCATGTACAGGTAAAGTAGCAGAGGATGAGAACAAGGAGAAAACCACTGAACAAACCAACATCACCTTGAGCCCTGAATCTATTGCTTCGAACTCAACTGCTTCTGATCAACCTGCTGTTGAGAAATACATACCACCAATTCCAGTGAAACAGAGTGCCTCCTGCAATTGTGCTTGTGGGAACAATAAGAGACAAGGCAAGGATACGCCACCAGGGGCAGGAAGAAACAACTTCACAGTGAAGAAAAAGACATGTTTTCACTGTGGAACACCTGGACACATTGCCCGAAACTGTCCAAATCGCGCATACGTTCCCTACCATGCACAAGGCTGGCAGAACGCGCCAAGAGGGAGATACTTCAAAAGAAACTCCTCAAGGTCACGTTCAGACCATGATGACCGGTACGCGCAGAAGGCCAAGAATCAAACCTACAAGGCCAAGAATGCGAATCCCAAGGGAAATAAGGGAATGCCGGCCAAGAAGCCAAATCCAAGAGATGCTCCCGTGAAGCCAAAATCAAAGTCATCTCAATGGCCGACATCAAGTTCAAAAGCAAGTACTGAGCCACCCATCAGATCGAAAAAGAAATGGGTTAAACCCAACTGCAAATGGGTTCCGAAAGCTCAATCTCCCAAATCTTCTAACGACTTTAATATTTCTTCATCTTCTGTTTGTGATAAACAGGATATGTCATGGGAGAGAGTACCGTGCAAAGATGAAAAAGGTCGACCCAGTTTCAAAATGGACTGAGTTCCGAAGACCAACTAATCTTGCTATGTGTCGGAGCAGCTATGGAGGCATATCATCAGACTTCGGTTTGTTGGTAGTGGCTGTTCCAGGCACATGATAGGAGGCATCTCTCAACTCTACAACATTCAGACCTTTGTTTGAGAGTATGTGTCCTTTTGCGGGAAAGGAAGAGATCACAAACGGGGTTAGTGCTTAATGACATGAAGAATTTTCGGATCTGTTCTGAGATTACGCGTGCTGTTCTCAGACCTTCTGGCTGCAAATTCAATCGGTGACTTACGGTTTGAGTTTTCTTCTCTATACTCCTGAGTTTTTCTTAAGCTGATTCGCTTTAAAGACTAATTTTTTGTTTTAGGATAGTTTAAATTTGCGCATTTACTTTCGTTTCTCTCCTATGCACAAATTTAGGGGGAGAAATAAAAACAAAACAAAGAAATAAAAACAAAACAAATTTAGGGGGAGAAATAAAAACAAAACAAAAATTTTAAAATTTTAAAAAATCCAAAAACATTATAAAATCAGAAAATCAAAAAAATATGTTGGTTATGGAATGTGCTTGAGCGAGATGTTTTGGGAAGTGATATAATCATGTGATAACAGGCAATCTGAATCTGTGTAAGGGACTGAATCTGAATTGTCTAGGCTCTGTGTTCGATGCGCTGGTAGGCACGAGAGATTAAAATGGACTTGACTAGGCATTAATGAACTTAAGGAATCTAGAGACGTGAAAAATCTTGACCTAGATAGATTCATTTAGCCTGACAATACGACGCTCAGATAGGTTGAGCAGGGAGATATACATGATAATCCACCGGTCACATTAAAGTAATCCATATCTAGAACTGTGGTTTAACTCTTCCTCGATGTACGGACTCTGTCCTTAATTCCGGTATTGATGGGGCGACTGGGGAATTCCGATAAAGTAGGTCTGTAGAAAATTATTTTCTTTCTCTCTTACTGTTAGTCATATGTTGCCTCCTTTACGTGATTGGAAGAGATCCGACCTGGACTGCAACATATGCAAATCTATTTCTCTGCATATTATATCTATGAAATTCTTCCTATCTGTTAGTCATATGCTGTCTCCTTTGCGTGATTGAAATACATCTGACCTGGTACACAACATATGCACCATTCTACTTCTCAATCCCTCTAAATCTGGTTAGTCATATGTTTCACCCTCTGCGTGATTGGAAGAGATCCGACCTGGGTGTATAGCATATGCATTCTAAATCTGACTTCTCTCATAATAATTGTATGCTCACCTAAAGTAAGGAGTACTTTGGAAGTTCCTGATTATTGGGGTATGTCAGGAAGCGGGAAACATGTTCTAGTACATTTAAAATTGAACAATCACTAGGTTGTCTGTAGATCTCGCTGCTCAATTTAGGTGGACAACAATATCTTTGGTCGTCGTCAGCAGAATGGTCCTTAAGGAATATTATCTAGGAACTTAGGATCACATTGTCTTGTCACTTATAGTATGTCCTAATTTTGTCACAATCTCTCGTGTTTAAGTGGAACACAATACCGGCGATTGACCAGATCTATTCATGAAGGGAGAGGTACTGATAAACGGATAAAGGTTGTCTAAAAACTTTGATCCCAAATCACTCTTAAAGTTAGATATCATTTTTATTTTTGTTAAATTTGTTCATAGTTTTCTTGTAATTTAAATATTAGGGGAGAATTAAAAATTTTAAAAACCAAACAAAAATAAAAAAATAAAAAAATCCAAAAAAAAATAGTGTTATTTCTGTTTTATTTCTTTTTCAGAAAATATGAAAAATCCAAAAATATTGTGTGCTAAAATTTTCTTTTAGTTTTGTTTTGTCTTGAATAGTGAATTCAGGTGAAGATGAAACTCATGGAAGTTTGTGTCGAAGATTTATGAGCCAAGGCTTCATCCGTGATCATCGAAGAATTCTCATTCCAAGGAGCAAGAAATGAAGATTATTCTTTCGACATTCAATCTTTCAACCCCAGAAGCAAGGTGAAGCTGAAATTGAAGATTATGTGACGGATTGCATTGAAGCCTCCTCAATCAGTCTGCTGCTATCTTGAACCTGCTGAAGTGATCCAGAAGTTTTGTTCTCTCTGACGTTCTCTCTGAAAATTCTCAAGCTGAAAGCGCTAATTTTTTTTATGAATCAGTACGTCAAGCCTCCTCACCCAATGTGCGTTCAATGTCAAATCTTGAAGAAATGCCCAATTGCTCAAGATGAAGTCATTCATTGAAGATAAATGCTGAAGCCAAGCTTACAATGAAGATGAACAAGAAAGCCAGCTACTTTTTAGGGGGAGCTTGTTGGGTCATTTAGAAAAGAAAGCTATAAACCAAGGGGGAGATTGTTGGGTCAAAAATATGGTTTATACTTTGCTTTTCTAGGAAAATGTATTTATGTGTCTTTGGTCAGAAAATGTGGTTGCGACCGTAAACAGAGTTTACGGCCGTAAACACGTTTACGGCCGTAAACCCAGTTTACGGTCGTAAACCCTGTTTACGGCCCAATGGGTGTTTACGACCGTAAACCAATTTACGGCCGTAAACCCAGTTTGCGGCCCAGTCGAGTATATATAGGGTGAGGAGTGCATGTGAGTGATGAACACATATAATAGAGGAGCTTAAGTGTGTGCATTTGAAGGTGTTCTAGAGAGAGAGAAAAGAGAGTGTGTGTAAGTGTGTGTGAATCTCATGTAAAGGATCATCATTCTATTCATTAATACATTGAGATTCATATTATTCTTCTTCTCCCTCTCTTCTATTTGATCTGACATCATCCGTTTGATTGGGATTCCGCACCATCAAACTGATCTGATTGATACACAAGCAGATTGGGGACTTACAGTTGTCATCGGATCGATCGTTGGGAAGTGAGAAGGATTGAGAATCCTCCAATTTTCATGTATTATGAAGGCTTAGTCGAATCTAAGTGGGGGAGTGTTACCCCGAGATGCAGAAGTGGGAGAGGTTTTGAAACAGGGATAAGTTTCAGAACCCGACGGGAGATTAGAGGCCCTAGTGGCTGCTTAGTTTGTGGGTTGTGTTGATTGGGAGATCGGCAAAACACCCCACCATAAGAACACGTCTTTTGGGTGCTCGATAGCAGAAGTTGGGGAACTAGGTTGGAGTTCTAGTCAAGAATCGAGTTCAGTTCGAGTATTCAGTCGAGGGTGTGCTCGACTCTGAGGGTTTTTGGATTGATAGATTGAGGGTTTTGTTAGCTGCCAGGGCTTAGCAGTGAATTCAGCACGGGAGTGCGGGTTATTTACCGTGTGTGGTAGACACGCAGGTCAGGGAACAGACCACGGATTTCCGAGAGGGTGGACGAACCACATGAGGCCTAGGGTTAGGCTGGGAATATAGTCCACAGAGTAGATCAGGAGTTTGAAGCCCTAAATGGGTGAGAACAGGATGCATGGGAGAGAGCATCAGGAGGGGTGGTCTAGGGAGATGCTCAACAGTTTAGAGCGGTCCCAGAGAGGTGGTCCAGACATGCTGAAGGTTCTGAGAGTGGTCCAGATAGACTGAAGGGCTGGTAGGGCGGTCCAGTCATGCTGAAGACTCTGTATATGTTTGTAGATCCATGTTCGGGTATTGAGTAGGCTGTTATGCTATAGCAATCAATAGGTCTGTTCCAAGTATTGAACATGCTGCTGGAGTAGGCTGAGGACTCCGGTGTATTTTTTTTGGTTGATCGGAAGTTGTTATTAGTGGTCGGACGGAGTTCAAAGGATCTTGGTGATCTCATCAGTTCTGAGTGTCTCCGAGGTTTCATCTCCTTGGATCGGGTAATACTCTAGTTGGGGATCGAGAGTGGATCCGAATGGCTATTCATCAATTTTGGGAAGGTTTGGGATCAGAATATCCTGTCAT